AATCAATACCTGCTCCCAAGAGAAGATAACTGCAATACACAAAGACAGAATACCAAATTCAGGTTAGATTTGTTTCGACAGCCTGTCGATACCGACCTGTTTATAAAGATTCCCTCCGTTATTCTTTGATATATCTTAATGAATTGTTTTTAAATGAACACCACATGTCTATAAAAAATATTTCTGCTTCTTTTCAACGGCCTTCATAGACAGAACTTTTGCAAATACAGTCAATCAGGCTAGTAATGGTCTCCAGCAAATGACTGAAGTAATTCGTTCCCTGAAGGCAGAATTTGAGTTTCATGTTTCCTGGTCAATTCTTTGATAATAATTTGTAATAAGTGTTTGTAGGAAACTTGATTTTGTGTAAAAATATCAAAAGAGTTTATCTCCAGTCGGTGTTTATCGATCTTTAAATTATCGATACAGGTGTATATATTTATTTCTGTATCTGCAAGGTCAGTATTTCTTTTGGGAACGATATGTGATCTCAAAGTGTTAATTACGGTCATTAAAAATGGAATCACTCCGACTTCAAGAAAACTTGTTTACTCATTTAACAATTCTAATTGATGAAAAAAAAATAACACCCTAGAAAGGTAATCTCAGTAGGTGCTCAGCCAAGCAGTCCTTCCTGGTCTTTTTTTGAATACTTTGTGATTTAACCTTTTGTAAAGTTTTCCATATTTAGGTACATGTTGGTTATAATAGGGTTGTCTTATTGTAATGGTCGCATGAGATTTCTGTATATGACGATCTGCGTAAAAAAAAAAGTGTGAAATATTTAACAACATCTGCGCGAGAGCTTGCCAGGCTTGACAAATCCACATGTGGTGACACCCCCTATTTGCAGATTTTCTTTTCTTTTCAATGATACAGTATGTTACTTCGTACGTCTTAAAATGTATTTTTTAAATTCTGTGTGAAGAATAACAAATTTAACAAAGAAACATAAAATCACAATTTTTCCCTCGTTTTGGCTACATTTGTCAGTGCCATTTCAAAGGACAATCAATATGTATAAAAAAAAAGGCGAATTATGAAAACAAGACTAAACTGAATAACAGTTTATCACCTGTTTCAATAAGATGTTCTGTTTCGTTACATTAATGTTGTGCATGTCTGTTCCAATGGAAGTTAATTCAATTTATGTTTATTGAATATATACAGTATGCGTTTCATTTAGCCTTGACGCCATTTTGTTACAATGTTGATATTTTTCACCAGTCAGCATTAATGCACAACATGTTACAACGACTAAATGCTTTACAAGGGCTTGAATCGATCTATATACACATAACGGGTTACTGTCGTCTGGTATCAAGCTCCGCTAATGTGCCTTGATACGATACTCGGAGAACCTGTACATTTCATCTGCGGACATATGACTTTATGATCAATTAGATTTGAAAAAAAAAAAGAATTCTGTCTGAAAGATACCTTAAAACTTCTGTGCATTTTCTGATAAGGAATATTGGGTTAACGCTCGTTTCGGGTCAGGGGTAAAAAAAGAGAAAGAAAGTTGTTCAAATTGATATCAAGATCAGAGATTGTAGTGATCCTTTAAATTTGTAATGACATAATGTAAATGAAAGAAAGCAGTCCATTAAATTTTAATGACATGATCATTTAAATGACTTAATAGCATTATGTGATCGATAGAAAATTGAATATCTTTTTCAAAAAATTGATAGATTTTGTTTCAAAAAATTGATGGACTCTGTAATGAAATACTTTGGTATCGCAGGGCCAATCTAGAAATGTTCGATTGAATTCAATATCCGACCAATTGGATTGAATTTACCATTGTACAAGATCTAGGAGCTCAAACTTAATTAGTCCGTGTAATAGGCTGCGTAAAATTGATGTGTGGGTTTTATTTTACATTTCTGATGTATTAGCAAGGTTACTTTGTAGTTCCTTGTCATTTGATACCGAATGTCTTTTTTGTCCTGGAGTTTTGAGATTTATACTTTCTGAATAACCCTACCTCTTGATATGCTTAAATTGAAGGAGGGTGGGGAATGTAATTTTGAAAGGTTGTAAGATTCACCGTGTAAGATTCAGGGTATCTTTCAGTGCAGTAAAAACAGTAGAAATTTAACACCATTTTGTATTTTTTTGGATTGTCAGATTACAACTGGTTTTTATTTAAATAAATAGTGCGGCAGTGTCGAAAGTCTGGTTTATACAGGGTTCAGTTTGAAAAGTTTAAACATTTTTTTTTAACTGTTCATACTGTCCATACCTATATAATGATACAAACTAAAACTAACCTCTCTGCATGAGGTCAAATTGAAGGGTCCTGAAAACCGACATAACATATATATTTTTATCTGGAAAAAAATGAATTTTGCTGGTCCCAACTTAATCTGATATTCATGAACAATAAAGAAAAATGTGTCTGTTTAAATCATTTAAGGGTTAATATTACAAAATTTGATCATTGATTTATATTTTTCTATTGCAGAAAATTATATAAAATATTTCAAAATTTGGTTTGTATACAAAATGCAAGATGGGTTCTTTTTAAAGTGCGTTCCTATTCACTTAAGGTTAAACAACCACACAGTGCGACACCCAGTCAGCACAGCCTGCGATTAGAGTTGTTTATGTAGAACTCGATACGTAAAACCTGGAATAAACGTGATGAAGAGATTTGTACTAATAAAGTACATGACACAAAAGTTGTAAAATAAAAGTAAAAAACTACTGAGAACATGCCTTACTATTACACTGTACCACATAATTATAGTTCTTGTCACTTTCTTTTGGGGCGAAAAAAAAAATTTGTTGTGTCAGGAGAAAAAAATCACTTCGGATTTTAGAGTGTTTATCACAAAGTTTTCATCTCAGTTTGTAACTGTAGAATTTCGTGACATGTAAATTACATGGATTGTTTGTGATTTTTTTTTATATTTGTTTTTCCCCCTTATGTTTACTACATTACAAGTATTGTTAGGTCTCTGGAAATGTGAATAATGAAACAATTTTATTTTTCTTTAAATTGGCAAACACATTTTTTGAAAACTTGACTGTATACTGTATACTTTGTGTGAAAAGTTTTCTGCGAACACGCTAATGCATATATGAGATGGATGAAAAACATGCTTTATTGGAATAGAGTTTCCTTAATGGATTTTTACTATAAGATATTTATTTATAATTAAGATATTTGAAACGGAAATTATTTGAAAGTTTGGAAGAATCTAAATGATAGAACTTCGGAGTTATACATGTTCAACTTCCACAAATATTTTTTGTGTTTTAATTAACGAACTTCCTAAGGAGACAAATTTTTGAGTGTGACGTGGGAAGAATCATTAGATCATCATGTTTGGTGTGGTATCAGCCTCGCTGGGACCATCCACGTATATATGTTCACAGGTGAAATGAGATTGTCTCATCAATCATTGAATATACCCTTTCCCCAGCGATTCTTATCACCCTCACTGCCTACATGTAGGTCTCGTGTACTGATGCAAGCGAACAAGTATCAAAATAGTGTCTCGTTAAATGGTTTACAAATATATATATTTATATATATATATAAAAAACTGAAAAACACACTTCGTTAGTGAAATGCAGATAGTGTAAGATTCGTTTTTACTGCTCAAGACCTCTTTCAAAGAACTGATGAAGAAATATTGATAAAATCGTTATTTAAAACGAGACTTTTTTTCTGTCCTTCAGTTTCAATGTGGGCCCGGTAGTATGTTGTATTGATTATGGTGACATGGATGATCGTGTGATCGTAATCCATGACGCAGTGTAATAGTTATCGAGTAAATTGTAGCAAGATGTCAACAAGATATCGACATTTTACCTGGTTTCAGTGACACTGAAGGAGAACAGAAACCAATTATATCCCCAGGTAAAGAAAATCAAAGCGGCCATGTTTTCTACCTCTTTATCTGCCTTGTGATGGTTTGTTGAACTCTGTAAAGATACATGTCTTCCTTGAATGACAATTTTAAACTCCTAATTACACATAAACACGAGGTGCTCATTTTTCAACATTTAATTAAGTTCATTATACTGAATTAGTCTGTACAGAAATAGATTCTGACTTTAGAGAAAAACGAAAAAAATACCTGCGAAAAAATTACCTGAGGCTACAATTTCATATGTACAGCAGATTTAATGACTACGATTTTAGAAATTCATGAAAGATTTGTTCAGGTATATCGGGGTGTAGGAATTTTAAGCTTTCCAGAACTGTGAGATGATCCTCAGGGGATTACTAGATGTGATTTCATAATCTATTGCCTGTGTAGAGTTACGCTGCGGGTGTTTGGATATATATAACACCTGAAATTTTCTACAGAGTTCTCCAGTTGTCTAGAAAGGACAGTGAGTTTAGTGTAAATTGAACCGGTGTAATCTCAACGAAAAACCTTTATGATATGAAAACCTGTAAAAACCAGAACATCTATTTTTGACATTGTATGCATAAACTTTATATATGGTCTGAAAATTGTAAACAGAAACCTGTGTAATCTAAAACACTGTGCCAACCAGAATATATATATATCTGTTAACTGAATTATGTAAGACCTATGTAATTCAAAAACTTTTAAAACAAAAACCTGCACAAACCAGAACTTCTATTTTTGACATTGTATGCATAAACTTTATATATTGTCTACAAATTGTAAACAGAAACCTGTGTAATCTAAAACACTGTACAGACCAGAATATATATATACCTGTAAACGGAATGTATGCAAGACCTGTGTAATTCAAAAACTGTTAAAACAAAAACCTGTACAAACCAGAACATATATTTTTCATTAGATGCATAACCTGAAACCTGTCTTAGCCAAACTAAAGTATTTTGGTATACAAATGTACTTTCTGTTAATTCTATGCCACAAGCCACTCATTTTAGTAATTTCCAATCAATTGATGGGGGGAAAATTGTAGGAAAATATTTTAACTTTATCTGCCTTAGATGGATGTCAAAATACTTATACTGATTTTCACCTATAATTTTTCAGGAATATTTCAAATGTCCATACGAAGAGAAATGCAAAATGGATGTCTCCAATCGCCGCTTCTGTAAACGATGTCGTCTGAGGAAATGTTTTGAAATTGGCATGAGAAAAGAATACATCCTGACTGAGGAGGAGAAAAGTCGTAAAAAGCAGAGAATTGAGGAGAATAGGTGCACAAAAGGACAGTGAGTTTTAGTGTACAATGCTAAGGAGCAGCCCCCATGGCCAAAATTTAAGTCAATGATTAAAAAGAAAATACTAAAAAAATTGTTTTAAATCGATATTTACAAAATATCTTTACAAAAATTGACTGCATCCAAGTCAAGATTTTGGAAAGATATATTAGTCGAGCCAAAATACAGAAAAAAAGTTGCTGGACAAGGGGAGATAACTGTTATAAGGAAAACATTCATTGTACATGTTGATTCACTGACAACAACTCCATAATATTTATGATATCTATTTTTGTTGTTGAATTTTTCAAGTTTGTTAATTGATATTATAAGTAAAACATTTATTGACATTTAACTCTGGATTATAAATAAATGAATATGTCAAAAAATAATTGTGTTGTAATGTGCAATGATAAATATTGGAAATTTTCATGATGAAATGTCACTATGAAATTAAATAAATTGTACATTTTCATCTTGTTTTTATGCAATACATTCAAATTCTAAATAAGACTGAATACTTTGGCATCTGGAAATATCTTCGGATTGAAAAATGCACATAAACCATATATACCGTGCTTTCAAAGGTATGATTTTCTTGTTTTACAGAAAAGTACGAGACCCTGAAAGGAAAAATCAGATAAGTGATGTGAGTACATCCAATAGCTACACAGGGAAGGTCCGCGTTCTCGAACCCGACGAGGACTACCTCATCAACGAAGTTGTCAACGCTTATCGTCAGTCCCTGGAGGTCAGCATCGACTCGGAAATCCCACGAGAAAATGCCTCTTTCTTGGACTTGGTCAATATAGCAGAGTTGAGTGTACGGAGGGTGATCGATATGGCTAAGAAAATAAAATCTTTCAAGTCTCTCTCTCAGACTGACCAGATCAGTCTTTTAAAAGGAGGTAGCATAGAGCTGCTCATCATTCGCTCCGTCATCACGTTCGATAAGGAAAAACAACATTTTTTGGATCCCTTTGATAATGAGAGTAACGCCATGTCTCTGGATCAGCTCAAGATGGGAGAGGGAGGCGGCTTATTCGAGGAGCACATGAAGTTTACAAAATCTTTAGCAATAGATTTGAAGGCAGACGAAACCATGCTTATATTGTTACTGGTTATCTCCCTTTTCTCACCGGATCGTACAAATGTGACTGACAAAACATATATCTGTCAGGAACAAGACAAGTACGCCCTCCTCCTGTTACGCTACATGGAGTCTAGGTACCCTTCTAGTCTAGTGCGCTCTCTCTATCCCAAACTTCTGATGAAACTCACAGACATTCGCAACCTGAACGAAGAGCACTCGCACGTTTTGCTCAAAGTGAATCCTGAGGGTATCCAGCCTTTGATGAAGGAGGTGCTCGACCTCAACGTGAAGAACGAAGTAGCGTAATGCTGAAAGCCCAGTGGAGGGGTTTGTGTGATATTTGACAGTATCCAGCCATGTCCTGGGATATACTGCCGGTGAATACACGTCTTGTGTCACGTGATCGTTGTCACGACACCCAGTTGAAAACTGAGACAGAGTTTGGCGATATTCGCAGTTCAACTATGTGCCACAATATTCTGCCTTTTAAGCCAAGTGGGCAAACATCGCCTTCTGCGATTGGTGGTTTGACTGGCATGCCAGGAAGGGGCAAAGTTTCATGGTTTGGTGATTGGCTACAGCCGTGTGAGGAAGAGGTCAAGGTGATGTTCAGATCCACTTAGTGAAGTATATATATATATTATCGTGAAACTATGTCTTGATATCAAACAGGCAGTCTTCGTCCATACGGTAATACGTGTACAGTTATTTTAGTCCAAGTGTTTAACAAGAGTACCATAACAGAAGAAACAGAAATGACAAACGAAAAATGACACTGTCCAATTCATACCGTTATGTACTTTATATATAAATCTCAGGATAAAAAAAAACGCAAAATGGACGACATGGATGGTTGGACCTTTAATGTTGCAACACTGATGTACATTTTGCCAAATATTGATCAAGGTCGTATCGGTTTACCAAGATATGATTGGTCAGTGTGGGATATTCGTCTTTGTGTTCTTGGGCGATCCAGAAACAGAAAGCTACAGATAAAACAGCGTGCTCAAAACATGTTGTGAAACCAGAGGATGACATCGGCCAAAGACATACTTTCTGTGCAGATTCGATCTGAAAAAAATATATACAGAACTATTCTTGTTGACAATTTTTTATCAATTTCTCCGGTGATTACATTTAGTGTAAATTGATGTTTGTTAAAGATGGTGGCACTTCACTGAAGCAGTACTATAAACACAGATAAAAACAAAGTGATTTTTTATGGAAGAAACTTGTTAAATCAACATCTTCAGAAGAATCTGGTGAGAAAGAAAGAGGAAGTTAAAAAAAAAAAAAAAAGAGATGAGAAATGTCCAAGAAATCGTGTAAAACATGTACGCTGTACTGAACAGTGTAATTCTAGGTATTATTGTTGTCCTCGGATGTTTTCCTTGTTACAACTCAAAATTGTAAACATCTGGAACACGTTGACCTCTGCACCATCGACAACAAATGGCATCAATGAAATAGAGTGTTTAAATAGTTCCTGGGGTTCATGTTTAATAGAACATCATGGTATAACAAGAATAAACTAGTTACTTGTTAGATAAAGCAGAACAGTGCTTCCTCGTAATATTTATGTATATTAGTTAAAAAACATTCATTTTCATGTTAGGAGGAATATTCAAAGGGAGACAATTCATTTTTTGTTTTCTTTTGTAGAAAATTCATTCATTGATCATAAGTACTGATTCAAGTCACAATCAAGTGCCACTGTTAGAGGTGGTCAAGATAATAGAATATTGCATCTACTACTGGAAATATATCGTTTGCCATGATTTTGTGCTCAAGTAAATATTGTGCAAATACAAAGCGAGGAACTGTGCATTTGCCATCATTTTTCGTTTGTACTCGTCTATAGACACTCCATGCCTGGGTGTCACTAATATGTATAGTTGAGGGGGAAAATAACAATAATAACTGAATAATGCTGAAACATTGAAGTGCCTGTTTCTCTTGTCTATGTGATAAAATCATTGTAGCGTAAATCCATGTAGAGTCCAGAGGTTATTATTGTCACACTAATGTGTCCCGTTACTATTGCCCTATATTTCTTACCAAGTAGTTTAATCGCCATAGACGCAGTAATATTGGTCCTGTGGCGACTCGTGTGTATATTTGATAGTGTTTTCAAAATTTTTAAATAAAATATTATATATCCTATGATTATACAATAATTATAGTGCTATGCTTAAAAGCGAATATGATTAATGATACTAATAAAATCCTAGTCATTATGATCGGGAAACCATATTTTGATATTTACATTTCAAATGTTGACTTACCACAAATGAAAAATTGGCCATAGAATATTTTTGAAATGATTGTTGGTATCATAATAAACTGTTTATAATTTCAGAACATATTTTAGAAAATATAAGTATGGTTGTTAATCCCTCAAATTTTGTTTTGTTTTGAATTTGGGAAGTGAAATGTAAATTGCTTATGATTTTTTTTAGTATTAACCACATCCATTGATTATGAAATATCAATTTTTTGTATAGTGCTGGTAATGAGAAATCTGTGTATCTGTCGTTATTCCTTCCTGTAACGGGTAGACGGTACAAACAATAAAATATTGATTTCAGCAAATGTTTCAATTTCTCTGAAAATCCAAGCCGATGTTTTAATTTTTCTGAAAGTAAGAACATGTAAAATGTTATGCTTCAAACATCGGTTCCCCGTGATGCAGATGTTTTCATTGTTATTTTTCCCTGTGGGATAGAGGAAAAAAAGTGAAATATTGTACTGTCTTTCCACGGCAGTAAGCTCATTCAATAGGCTTACCGGTAAACAGGATTGGCTAATAGGGCAACCATCATCCTATGCAGGTTATTTAAGGAATCGAGAAATTGCATGAGCAGATTTTCATATTCCTAACACTTTGTTCCGTATATGAAAGGATATACTTCTAAATAAGCCCTGCACAAAGCTACATCCTGATTAAATGCAGCATGAAAAGAAATCACGCAAAATTTCAATTTAAAGGTATCATGCTGGTAAAAAAAAAAAAACTGCAGAGGAAAATGTCAGATACACAGTTTTATTAAATTTCTGTTCAATATATTGATTTTGTTCCCTTGAAATTGATTCTCTTCCAACCATTCTTTAAATTTCATTGATATATATATATATATATACAGTGAGTTAATTCAACTTAATTGATGAAAGAAGATGTTAAATTTTGTTTACTTACATTTCGTCTTGTTTAACATTTTTATTATAATATATACATGTATATATATAAAAGTAAAGTTGAAATTGAGAAATGGAAATATAAATAATGATAAAATTTGTTCCTGTAGCAGATTTGAATCCTGATTACGGAGAAAAACATTAAAGTGCTCTAAATCCATGTTTGTGATAGGAAAACACAGATATTATTGTGCATGTCAAAAGGTGTTATGAATGTATTGATTTTTTTCACATGATAAACATTTTATCAATGTTCCTGGATATTATTTTTTCTTGCTTATGTATTAATATCTAATCAATGTTTATACACATATATTTCCCCCTGAAGAATGATGAGAGAGTTTGTTGTTTACCTTCTGAAATAAACATGGTTTTAGAAATATAATTGTTTTTGGCTGTTGACTGAGCTTGAAGCAATCCCATTTGTCGGGGATGAAATCAAATACATTTTTTTTTTCTTCTCAAAAATAACAATTTGAGTTTTGATTATAGCATTTTTGATAAAGATGAAATATTTTATAAAAGATCATTTTTTTTTTAAAGTTCTTTAAATCACATCATTTTTCTAAATACCATATTTTGTGGTTGAGTTGCTAATAAAATAAAATAAAATGAGTTATAACATGCCAACATTTCATGCATAGGACAGCTTGAAGATGCATTTTGCATTCTTATTTTTGTAAAAATAGACTATTTATGCATATGACATCTAGAAAAGTCTTAAAAGTACCTGCAATATGACTGTTTGTCAAAATAATGATATAAAATCCCTAGTTAATCTGTTCTATGCAGTATTCAGGTGTCAGATTAGACAGATTTCACCATACAGAGAATGTGTTGCTGTTTCAAAACTCAAAAATAAGGGTTAAATATATCCTTCCAAATTAGGAATATGAAACCTGAACAACCCAAGGGAGATAACTGGATTTACTGCCTATGATTTTGTACTTTTTTCATTTTCTTTATCATAAAATGTACATTTAATTGAAAGTTCAACAAATGTACCTTTTCTATATCAATTGGAGCCTATAGCTTTCACTGGCTTACTAAATAGTTTAGATTTTTGATGGTTTTGATGTTAAACATTTCGGTTTAATTGATGCATTTTATTTGATCTTGAACTTGTTCTTTGTCAAAAGTATGTGCAGTAAATTTAAGATTCAACAAATTCACTTTTTCTATATAAATTTGAGTTTGCTGAGCGAGCAACTCTCCATAGATGGATATTGAAATGGGAGGATTTGGGGGATAATTTTGTATAGAAACATGGAAGGATTGTGAAATTTTTGTAGCGTTTGAATTTCTGACTTACAGAAGGGATTTTCTTCTCGGTCTCAGTTTGGGTTTTTTTTCAACACAAAATGACTGTTTGTTATCCTTGAAAACCTGTTGTTTTTCACTGTCAATTTTTTTTATTTTCTTCGATAAATTTTGTCTTCACTACAGGTTTTGTTTTACAAAACTTACAAAGGAGTCAGTTCTAGACTTTGGCCATCCTTAAAAAGACTATTTTGTAGTGTACTCTTCCTTTATGTTAAAACTGCCAGGTACAAATTTCTTAACATTATTTCTTTAACCAATTAACCCCTGAAATTTATAAATAACTATTCCAACCTTTGAATTGGAAGAGTTAAAATGTGTCTTCAGGGGTGAATGGGTTAAACCTTAATTAATTTAAAATGATATTTTTATTCAACTGAATTATTTAGAATATGAAAGGGGAATTATTTTTCAGGGAAATTACCTTTTTAATCAATTTGTAGGTGCACAGCAAATGTGGATTTTTTTATGGGTGGCCTTATATTTGCTCATTTTTGTGTTTCAGTTACCCGATTGGTTATCCCTGCATTACTGATGTTTTGATTGATTGTTTGTTTGTTTGTTTTATTCTTGTTTATAAGGTATTTTGTATTACCTGGATATGAGAAGTATTGGAGATAGTTGTAAGAGAACCCTGCACCGGATGTCCGTGTGAGGGAGTTTTGTATAAATGGCGTTTTTTGTTTTGAATTGTTTGATGTAAGACTGTTAGGGCAGCATATCATGTTACACACATGTATCTCATTAAACAAATTAATAAATGATGTTCGTGGAATGATAATTATGTTAATCAATCGCCACATCATATATTGTAAAAAAAAAATTATGATAAGAATACAAATATATATATATATATATATATATATTTCAAGTTTTGAAAAAACTACCAGTCATAATTTTTAGAGCATGATGTTTGTGTTAGAATTACCCGATGTCATAAATTTTGTGACAATAAACTGGATTTCATTAATTACACTATCATCTGTATCCCCGTGTATCGGCATATATACATTATATATATATATTATATACTTAGTATAAATGTGACAAAATTTGGACATTGTAAATATACTGATTTGTTGTGAAAAAACTTGTATGTCTGAGAGTTGGAGGGTTTGAAACCCGGAGAATCACAGGTTAATCTTTTCTAAAGATTGTCGAGGTGTAATTCTGCAAAAAAGTTGCTGGGGTTGCAGAGGTATTTTGATCATTAGGGTACATGGCTGGCATGAAAATTGTGTTATTGTATTGGTGAGGCTCCTAAAGGGGAAAATCACTTTGGTGAGGCTCCTAAGGGGGTTATCACTTTGGTGAGGCTCCTAAAGGGGTAATCACTTTGGTGAGGCCCCAAAAGGGGAAAATCACTTTGGTGAGGCTTCGAAGGGGGTAATCACTTTGGTGAGGCTCCTAAAGGGGTAATCACTTTGGTGAGGCCCCAAAAGGGGAAAATCACTTTGATGAGGCTCCAGAAAGGGTTAATCACATTAGTGAGACTCCAAAAAGAGGAAATCACTTTAATGAGGCTCCGTTAGGGGAATTCACTATAGTGAGGCCCAAAAAGGGGTAATCACCGATCATTTATGACTTGTATTATGTTAAATCACATAATCATTATGATACAACCACATGTGCAGTGTTTTATTTACGCATGTTCACACATGTAAACTGCCAGTAAGTTATAAATAATCTTTCCCTTTCTTTGATTCTAATTCGTTTTCTTTTTATTTAACACATATACCGAAGGTACGGTGTTTTGTCAAAAAAATCTGGTGGATTTATTTTGAATAATTGAGGAGAAATACAAGAACCATGTTTGGAAAGTCCCATTAAATGGGACAATTTTTACAACGGGTTGTAACGAATGTATGTGATCCTTTAATTTGTTTTGTTATTTCATAAGAAAATTACCCTCCCCACCCCCCTTACGTTTTAAAGAACATTAAAACATCATGTATTACCACTAACGACATGTGTCATACTTAATTCACTCAATAAATGGTAGCTTGAAATGATAGCCAGAAAGTTTGTTGTTTATTTTATTGTCTGTTTATTTTCAAAAAAGATACTTTTCTGTGAAAAACCCCCCATACATTTCTAAAATCTCTAAATTAAAGTTTAGAAATGTAACATCATATTGCCAACAGACTACAAAGTATATAGAACAGACAACTAGAGACTAAAAAAACCTATATCTACCACAGTAGGAACTGACAACTAGAGGCTAAAAAAAAACTATATCTACCACAGTAGGAACTGACAACTAGAGACTAAAAAAACCTATATCTACCACAGTAGGAACTGACAACTAGAGGCTAAAAAAAACCTATATCTACCACAGTAGGAACTGACAACTAGAGACTAAAAAAACCTATATCTACCACAGTAGGAACTGACAACTAGAGACTAAAAAAACCTATATCTACCACAGTAGGAACTGACAACTAGAGACTAAAAAAACCTATATCTACCACAGTAGGAACTGACAACTAGAGACTAAAAAAACCTATATCTACCACAGTAGGAACTGACAACTAGAGACTAAAAAAACCTATATCTACCACAGTAGGAACTGACAACTAGAGACTAAAAAAACCTATATCTACCACAGTAGGAACTGACAACTAGAGGCTAAAAAAAACCTATATCTACCACAGTAGGAACTGACAACTAGAGACTAAAAAAACCTATATCTACCACAGTAGGAACTGACAACTAGAGACTAAAAAAACCTATATCTACCACAGTAGGAACTGACAACTAGAGACTAAAAAAACCTATATCTACCACAGTAGGAACTGACAACTAGAGACTAAAAAAACCTATATCTACCACAGTAGGAACTGACAACTAGAGACTAAAAAAACCTATATCTACCACAGTAGGAACTGACAACTAGAGACTAAAAAAACCTATATCTACCACAGTAGGAACTGACAACTAGAGACTAAAAAAACCTATATCTACCACAGTAGGAACTGACAACTAGAGACTAAAAAAACCTATATCTACCACAGTAGGAACTGACAACTAGAGACTAAAATAACCTATATTTACCACAGTAGGAACTGACAACTAGAGACTAAAAAAACTATATCTACCGTAGTAGGAACTGACAACTAGAGACTAAAAAAACTATATCTACCACAGTAGGGACTGACAACTAGAGACTAAAAAAACTATATCTACCATAGTAGGAACTGACAACTAGAGACTAAAAAAACTATATCTACCACAGTAGGAACTGACAACTAGAGGCTAAAAAAAAACTATAGCTACCACAGTAGGAACTGACAACTAGAGACTAAAAAAAACTATATCTACCACAGTAGGAACTGACAACTGGAGACTACGCATACCAATACCTACCACAGTTGGAGCTGACAACTGGAAACTAAAAAAACTGTATCTACCGCAGTAGGAATTGACAACTACAGACTAAAAAAAACTCTACCACAGTAGGAACTGACAACCAGAGTCTAAAAAAAACTATATCTTCCACAGTAGGGACTGACAGCTAAAGACTACACATACCAATATCTATCACAGTGGGGAGTGACAACAAGAGACAACACATACCAATATCTACCACAGCAGGGACTGACAACTGGAGACCACACATATCTATATATACCACCATGGGAACTGGCAACTGGAGTAAACACATACCAGTATCTACAACAGTAGGAACTGAAAACTGGTGACCAAACATACCTGCATTTTACACTGTAGAAACTGACAACACATACCAATTTCTACAACAGTAGGAACTGACAACTGGAGACCACACATACCTGTTTCTAACAAAGTAGGAACTGACAACTGGAGACCACACATACCTGTTTCTAACAAAGTAGGAACTGATAACTGGAGACCATGTATACCTGTTTCTAACCCAGTTGGAACTGACAACTGGAGACCATACTTAAGGAATGATTTTTATTTTTTCAACATTTATGAGGTCATAACAACAATGGGTTTTTGGACATATTTTACATGAATCGCTAACGCGATTCATTCAATATGTCCATAAACCCATTGTTGTTATGACCTCATAAATGTTGAAAAAATAAA